CTTCCAGACACTCATCTGGAAAATTTGCCTGGCCGACCCACCCCGATTGCGGAAAGTAGAAATAGTTCAGACAGTCTCTCCGGGTTCAGGGACCAGGACCGCCGAATCTAACGACCTCGGTTTCTTTCCAAACAGTCCCGAATACACACTAGTTCGGGCGACGCCGAGAGGGAGACAGAGAGATAAGCTTCTGACCCGCAGTGGAGCTGTTCACGGTCGTCTCGCCTAGACACGCTCGATTGGGGATTCAAGCCACGACATGGCCAATGAGTCTGCGAGGATCTCCGCATCGCGCGCTTATGGGCTGCTTAGTGGGGAATTTAAGCGGTGGTTGGGTTTTCGATGGTGGTGGACCATCTTTGCTTGGTAACGGTGACCGAGGATCAGGCGAGAGATGAGCGTAAGACGGGGGACATTGCAATCCGACATTGTATATCGCAAGTCTCTTGTCGTGGTAATGACAACCGCGTGTTGCAGGCCATGGCCTTCATGCACATCACGTCCTTCTCCGCTGTAAATGTTACTCCGCCTCCGTCACGACATGCAATTTCCGCCATAAGCACGGCTAAGCTGCAGCGCCCAGACACGGAAGGCGCGGTCAAGCTTTCTTACCGACACACATTTACCTGTCAGCGGCGCAGTGGCGCGCCTGAACGTCGGGTCGCGTACATGTTCCTTATATAAGCGTACAATCCCCGCGTTAATCCCGGCCCTGCCCTTGGTTATGCGTGGTGCTGGGTGCTGTGTGCCTGTCCCCAATGCTTCCAGAAGGCCACGCCTGCAGGTGCGCGGCGGTAATGGAAGATAGTGACCCACGGCCCAACCCACAGATCTGGAAGCTCGTTGTCCTGGTGCCCACATGAGCTCCATATTATAAACTTGGTATATGCTTGAAGCCCTTCGTGTCGCAGGGCGTGAGTGTGAAGATGTTGCCCACTTGGGCAAACTACCCACACGAGCGTTCCACTCCGTCAGCACAGGGCACTCGAGACACGCGACTATTTCACCCAGTGGCAGCTAGTGCTGTGTTGGAGAGGTTGGTGTAAACGGTCGAGAGATAAGGATACGAAACATGAGTCACGTTTCGCCATCACTTCTTCATTATGTTCAGCTACCTTCTATTCCTCCAATGCATTACAATGCCGTCCATGAAGATTCCATTCTCTACCCGCCATGCATAATTAGCGACCATGATGTCGCCCTAGCCTTTTGATACAAGGGGCCTCCCAAACAGAAGAAACATTGACACATACAAGCGTCGGGGTACTGTAACGAAACAAATAATACACGCAGTGCCAGTGGAAGGGAAAAGAGCAATTGCTTATGAAGAAGGCGCAATGGGACCGGTAGTATTGGGGTCGCAGCATTGCTTTCCTCCACCGCAGCTGTCGGGGCATTCTAGCAGACAAGCATCAGGGCCGCCCTTTACGCTGGGGTTCTTGCTGACGCGACCGCCATCTTCCGCGCCGCTGTCGTCAGAGCCATGGGCTGAATGGTCGTGGCTGGCGTCGAGGCAGAACTCAGGCTGGATGGTAGAAGAGTGAATGCCATACTGGTGGAGGCATTCGCGGATTTGGCGTGCGAGGTCCATGTAACGTGCCGAGCCCTCACCCTTGAAGTCAAAGTCGACCTGAACGTGCAGCGATGCAATAAGCTTCGTGTCTGACAGCTGCCAGACGTGGAGATGGTGGCAAGAGACGATGCCGGTAAGGTCGGTAATGTCCTCAGTGATGTCGTCGATGGAAAGGTTCTCCGGAACGGCTTGCAGAAGGATACGAGAAGCAGCCTTGCACAGGGGCAGAGCAGACAGAAGGATGATGACGGTGATGAGCAGAGACACAGCGGGATCAGCATACATCCTCCAGGAGAAGTCGGTGAGCCAGATGAACAGAGCAGTGCCAATGACACCAATGTTGCCAAGAGCATCGCCCATGACGTGTAGGAAGACACCACGCATGTTGAGATCTGCGTGAGAATGACCGTGGCCACCTGCGGATGACTCTTTCTTGGGCTGGTTGTGGTTGTGGCCCTTGTGCTGATCCTTCTTGTTGGTCTTGCCATTTCCGTGAGAGTGGTCGTGTGAGCCGTGGCTCTTGGACTTGGATAGAAGCGAAGTCTGCTCAGTGGGCTCGTCGTCATCTATGACATTATTGTCCTCGTCGTCAGCCTCGTCGTCGTGCGCGCGCGAAGACTCGATAATGCTGTTCCTGAAGGACGAAGGGTGTACGTAGATCTCGTCGATGGTGGCATAGTTGCGCGAGTGCGATCGGCTGTGGCGTTTGTTCTTCTTTCCAGGAGTAGACGAGCGGCGTGTGTCTGCGTCGGATGTGAATGACACACCGTTGGACTTGGTGGGTGTTTGGGTGAGGTTTGACGGGAAGCCGACGCGGTTCTGGGGCAGCACATCCGCGATGTTACCGCTCTCATCTGCGACGGCATGGTCATGCGCGTCTACACCATGAGAGTGACCCTCCTCAGCGTGTGAGTGCGCGTCATGTCCGTGGGAATGGCCGCCGTGGCCGTGGCCGTGATCGTGGAAGAGGAAGAGACCGATGATGTTGGATGCGAGACCGCAAGAACCGACGATAAGAATGACGACGGGGTGCGAAACATCCTGTGGCTCAACGAATCGCTGGATGGCTTCGAGGAAAATAGAGAGACAAAGCGCGACTAGAAAGACTCCGTTGATCAGAGCACCTAGAGTCTCCGCACGTTGCCACTGCTCCTAGTTAGCAGAGCCGTCGCGCACAAGCAATGGGCCCACTCACTCCGTATGTGTATGTCTTTGAGTTTGTCTTCTGGCTAGCCACCTTGACTGCCCACAAGCCGACAAGGAGCGAGATGACATCGTTCAACTGCGCGAGGGGTCAGCATGTGCCTCCGCATTATACGTCGAGCCAGATATACGCACCATGTGGAACGAGTCGGCAACCAGCGCCAAAGAGTGCACCGTATATCCGGCAATCAGCTCGACGAAGAAGAAAGCCGTGTCGATGGCGAGCAGTATCATGATGCGCGTGGATTTGGAGAGCCCCATGTTGGCGGTATCGGAGCGTCCTTCGCGCTGCACTGGGGTAATGGGTTGACGGCGCGAGGGGTGCGATCGAGGCTTCGGGGCCTTATGTACGACGGCGGAAGTGGGTAGGGGGCAATGTCGTGTTGGGGAGTTGGAGAAAAAGGGTTGGGCTCACGGTTCGCAAGGTTGTCGCGTAGGAGAATTAAGAAGCGGAGTGGCGCTATTGCGTCAGGCCTCACCCAGTGCAGACGTACAAACTAGCCATGTTTGCGACTAACGGCCCGTATCGACATGCAATACTTGAGCAGTAACACGCACCCAAAACAACTTTAACCGCCTCACATTGGCAAACTCTCCCTTGTTTCCGCGTATCTGTAGCACGTCCACTGCGCGCTGCTCTCAGTGCGACAGCCGCGTACCGAGGTTCATAGCTAAACGCTGCCAATATATCCACAGATACTGGCAAACCTTTCCAAAGCCTTGCCCCGCAGAGTTGCTATGGTTTGCTCCTGTAGCGCGTGCCGCTATGCCGCAGTTCCACAGTGCCACAACTTGAACAGTGAACTCGGCTAGTTGCGAAGGGTCTGAGTTGGGCCCACCGCAAACGATGACATACCGTTGGCGACGTGCCTACTTGAGACATGTTCCAGCCTTGATGATACTCGTCCAACTCGCACATGACTAGTTCTGCACTTGTGCCTGTGGCGGGTGCGCTGACTAAACACATCTGCGCCATAGTGTAGCATGTGAATCAGCATTCGTCTCTACAAAGACGCCCATACGTACTACTCGTTACCAAAGTACGTCTTCTCGATGTCTACCCCAACAACCACCGCGAATGTCCCCAACAGCAAACACATCATCAAAACCATGACGAGCCCTACCTCCCACCCTCCTGCCATGGCCTTCCCTCTCACAAGCGCCCTCTGTAGCCGCCAAAACCTGATTGCCCCTACTAACACCACGACAATAGCCATGCAGATCAAGGTTGCTGCAAGCGGTTTCCCGACCTTGTAGAAACCAAAGTGCGGGTTAGGCGTAGCCGAATGCTGTAAGTGGAAGAGCTGAGCGGTCAAAACTCCTGTCATGACAAGGATAAGGGAGGTACGGAGGTAGCCTAGGAAAGTGCGTTCGAGTGCTGAGCGCCTCATTAGCTGCCGAAACATCCAAGAGTGGACAGGGAAGGGGATATACCCAAATGATCTCTGTGCGCTCCTTCGTCGATGCTCAGGCTAACGTGTGCAGCCCAAAGTTTGACAACTGGGTCATACCACCGCTCCGTCCTTGCTACTTCGTCTCTACCAGGTCCTTCCTGATACACATTGACCTGTGCACTTGTTATGCTGATGTCAGAAGCATGGCGCCTGAGATCCTCTCTTGAGTCATTTGTCGAGCTGCGCAGCAACGCATTGCGCGATCGTATACTGTTGAGACTAGGTATCGCACGCGGTTCATTCAGTGTAGTAGTTCTTTCGCGACGTACGGGTCCCAACTCCTGCGAGTAGCGCTGTCGCTCGTAGCGCACTGCAACTTCTGAGTCAGGATGTGGTTCTGCATGGGCGCGATCGTGGAGAGCTGCCGCAGGTAGGCCAAGTGGTGATACAGCGCGAGGTGGTGCTGGAACGCTCATGGATCCGGTCTGCATGCGTGACACGAGAGTAGTAGTGTGGAGCTTAGGAACATAAGACCAGTCATGGTAGCAACCACGTAGAACGCATGCGATGCTATCTGATAACACTTTCTTCGGAAAAGAGCGGGAGCGGAGTTATTGCTACCTAGGGGAGTGAATCGAATGGGCAGGAAGCTTGGGGTTGTGGGGATGCGTCGGCACGTCGGCCGGACCATCGCGCATGCTCTTGAAGGTTGAAACCGCTTGCTATATGGTAAATTCCAGGAACATCGATGGTGGACAGTTATTAGAATTACGTCTCTAGCTACAGCAATACCTCGTTATCGTTACATCGTCTTTGCGCCAAGAACTGCATTACACAAGAGCGAGCCCGCCTACCACCACGACAGCAGCGACGTACACCTGCTCCATAACCCCATGTGTCGCTCTTGTCGCAGCACCACTCGAAGTGCTCGAAGGAGCAGCATCTGTGCTCGATGGCGCTGAGGTACTCGTGGAAGAAGAAGAAGCCGTAGAAGTAGGAGCACTCGCCGATCCAATCTCATCAACATCGTCTGGCGCATCGTACAATTCATTCCCATCACTCGCCATAGTCCATCCCAACGCAGTACCATCACTGCTCACAGCTTTTCCACGTACAAAGCTCTCCAACTGTGCGTCGGAAAGGTCGATTGTTGTCTCAAATCCTGTCCTCCTTGCCACAGTGACATTGGTCCAGGTACGTGAATCGCTCGCATTGGCCGTGCATACAACCCAACTTTCGACCTCAGTAGCCCCGTTCCAAGAGAAGAACGCCGTGTTTCCGTCTTGATCCCAGTGCACATCCGGCTTGGTGGATGGGTTTCCCTCCCATTGCTGGCGATACGCGCGGTATGCGTTTACAACGTTACTTTTGCCAAACTGTACGTCAAGAAGGATGTTGCCTTGGTGGTCCAACTCAGTGAAGAAGGGCTGGCTGCCGAAGCCAAGCATGAAGTTTGTGGTTCCGTTAGAAGGGTCGATGGCTTGCAAGCTGCCTTCGAATGTTGCAAAGGTCTTGCCTTGGTTGGCGAATTCAGTAATAAGTTTGACGGTCTTTTCGTTCTGATTGACATCGAGCAAGAGACCTCGCGAATAGCCAATCGTCTCGGTGGGTCCATTGTCAAAAATCGTCATGCGAGTTTGGTTGTCGTTGAGCCAGCGAGCATCGTGTTGGAAAGCGAAGTTGGCTGCCGGGTCAACGTCAAAGTCTGATTGTTTACCTTGAAGGCGCCAGATGATGCTTCCGTCTTGTCCAGATATCTTGTATATGGCATCCATGACGCGTGCTGAGACTAGGTAATCACCGTTGCTGTCCTTCTCGACGGAGTTTATATGGAAGTAATCCCACGGCGCTTCTTCGGATTGACCAACCTCAGACGGGAGAGAGTTGTACGACTCGTTGATTCCAACATGAGTACTGGCATTCCACTCAAAAATAAGCTCTCCAGTCTCGATGTTGATTTCCTGGAAAGTATTCTCGAACAGCCAACCATTCTCGATACCTCCGGATGCAGTCAAATCCCATGGAATGCCATGGTAGATCAAGACAAGCGCGGTATCGTCAGCAGTGATGTCGAACTCGTGGATATCGCCCATTTCATCTCCGAAACGGTTGACCTGAAAGTGCGCTATCTCGTCATAGCTTTGGTTGAGGATATGATATGAACCTCGTCCGTAGCCGTTCAGTAACTCTCCAGACCAGAGTGTAAGTACAGGCTCGCCCTTGTATGTCTGCGTCTTGAAATCGAAAGGTTCGCTGTAGTTGCCGGTCCATACAAGTGACCCCATGCGATCATCTGAGAATTCTGGTCACACGAATTAGTATATGAATTCAGCGTTACACGATCGACCTGGCGCGACTGAAATGCATGGCTTACACGTAAAATCTAATTAACTCCCTGGAGAAAAGAGAAACATACCAAATATTGCTGGCCAATTCTGCCCACTCGTAGGCAGACCATTGATCCCCAGGAACACAAGTCCGCTCTGCAACGCTGTTCCATTTCGATTGATCTGCATCTGCGGTGGCTTCACATTCGTGTTCGACATGTAAGTTTGGTACGGCGTGCCACTCGGATCAGAAGCTCCATAGCTGTCGAAGTCATAGCTAACAGAATCCTGTGCAGTAACAAAGGGCAGTAACAGAGACGACAGCTTCAGCAGTGACAGGCTAGCTTGGGTAGCGACTGAGTGGGCGCTGTGCATCATGACGGCGCATACGTAACGATCGATTAGAACCAGATGAGAGCGAGGAAAAACCAGCAATTAGGGTATCGAGAGCACAAAGAAAAGTACAAGCAGGCTGAGAGCAGGAAGGAAACACAAGTACCGAAAGGCGGCAGCCCATGATGTACCCCGGTAAGGGTGCGGCTTGTTGGATTCCCAGCTCATCTCCTCAATCCGGTCTGTCGATTGCTTACACTTGGCCCGGATAAGCAGACAAGCCACGCTTACTAGGCCTAAGACGCGTTCTTGGGCGCCCGGACAGGTCATGGGGGATGCGATCTTCTAGATGCAGCTTGTAGACAGCTGCAGGGTGTGGGGCCGCGCATTGACATAGTACCAGATTTTCCCATCCTACAAACCCTCCATTACACGAGCAGTAATGCTGGCAATTTGTTAATCACGTCCATACAGCAGATTTCCAGAGAACAGACGTAAGCTGGATAGCTTTATTGTGACGCGAGATAGACAACAAACGGGACTTCGGGAGTTAGGCGTGCCAGCGGCTCACGCTGCTAGTACGGCTGATTGTGCCGTACGCCACATATCAATGGCGGTTGGTGCGTCAATCATACTGGGAATATGATTCGTACGTTACCGCCACAGTCTTTCACTCTCGCTTATCGGTTTCCCTGTTTAATGAAAGATTAGTGATGGCTAGAACGGCATCATATCTCCACGCACGTGAGACAATTTCTTAACACGGCAAGCATATTGTGACGCCGCGTCACAATGAATTTATCTGGGTCAGAATAGCGTTTTGACCTCTTGGTCTGCTATGCAGACTGACTCTATTTGCTCATGAACTTGCTCGCAATGTTGAGCGCGCTGCCGAGAGCGCCTCCAGAGTTACCACCGCCGCTTCCACCGCTGCCTCCGCCCATCTGCGATTTCAGATAGAACTTGAGAGCCATCTGTGCAGCCTGAGCAATGGCATCTTGCTTAGTAGCAGCCGGGTCCTAAGTATGTCAGTAAAACACTCAAATGTGTAAGGTACGCTTAAGACCTACAGTCTTGCCCTCGCTTTGCTGCTTGTCGAACAGCTGGGCTGCCTGACCCATGGCCATCCCGATGAACTTGTTCTGTCCACCCTTGGCATCCTCGTTACTGCCGTTGTTGAACATCTTCATGGCTTGCATAGCCGCCGCAGCGCCGACGTTGTTTGAGCTGGCTTGCTCGTTACCGCCGTGGCCACCACCGCCGTAGAATTTCTCGTGCTGCTTGACTGCATCGTCTTCATCTACATCCTCATCCTTGAGCTTGTCCTTCTTGCCGGACAGCATACCGAGGACGTTGCTAAACAGATCGTTGTCGCCGCTGTTTCCAGACTCGCTCGAAGCATGCTGGGCCGCACCTGAGAAATCGTCCGAGGCACCACCATAGCCACCACCACCGCCGTAGGATGTGCCCGAAGAGTGTTGACCTCCGTGGCTACCTGATCCGCCGTACCCTCCAGTGTTGCCTCCATAGCTGCTACCTCCGGATGGGCGGTCATTATAGTCGTCACCACCTGAGTAGCCCCCACTGGGACGGGACTCATGGCGCCTGTCGTCACCGTAGCCACCGCTCGGGCGGTCGTTGTAGTTGTCGCCACCGCCTGAGTAACCTCCGCTTGGACGAGACTCTTGACGTCTGTCGTCGCCGTAGCCTCCGCCTCCAGAGTAGCCTCCGCTGGGACGGTCGTTGTCGTATCCTCCACCCTCGTGTCGTCGTCCACCATGGTCTTCGCGTCTCTCATCACCCAACGCTGGACCACCGTAGCCGCCCTCCTGCGGTCTTCCATATTCTTCTCTGCGCTCACCACCACCACCGTAACCGCCAGAGGAGCCATAACCTCCTCCTCCGCCTCTCCTCTCTTCGTCACCTAGAGCAGGCCCACCAAAGCCACCTTCCTGGGGTCGGCCGTATTCTTCGCGGCGGTCGTCTCCACGACCACCATAGCCAGACTGCTGGCCGTACTCGCGGCGATCGTCGTTGTATGACATGTTGAAGGTCTTGAAGTCTGCTTTCTTGTTAGCGATGCCAGAATGGAGAACGGTTGACTGCTGATGCTCCCACGTCTCTTAAGCTTGCTCGGAGCTATGCGACGCGAACATGCAAGTAGAGAAGGTTGTAGGTCATTGATGAACACAGGAGAGCAATGACTTACAAAACGTTGAAGAAGTGAGGGTTGTATATGGATTGAGGGTTGGCAAAGTTTGAATGTGCAGATGTGTGTTGAGGAGGATGTCAGGTACCCAAGTGGCAGCTATAGCTCTTGTCGGCCTTGGAAGTTGCTTGCCCCTCCAACCAAGGCGCTGCCCCTCACTACTGACGTACAGCACCCACTACGCGGCAAGCTTCCCTGTCATGATTCGCGCTAGTGTTACAGCAACATGCACATCACGTCACGTCGGACAATTCAACGATTAGCGGTCAGCGTCGTCAGGGTGCGATTCATGTCTGCTGCTACAAATATAGTATCAATGCAATGTTCGCTGCATTGTGATGTCGGAAGAGAGCTTGGATCCATGACGTGACATTCACAACCAACCAACCTCATCCTATCCCATCGACCTTTAGTAGTCATCGCTCCTCCTGTTCGAACCCCCATACCCAGAACTCTCGCGGTCATTGGAGCCATAGCTGTCCTCGTTCCGGCGTTCAGAACTTCCGTACGAATCATTGTCGTCACGACCCGAAGAGCCACCATACCCAGAAGAAGTGTTTCCTGAGCCATAAGTCTTGTTGCTTGAGCCGAAGTCATCGTCGTTGGTTTTGCGGTTAGAGGAGCTGTACGAGTCGTCGTTGTCACGGTTCGATGAGCCGTAGCTTGACTGGTTCTTGCTTCCATACGAGTCATCATCATCCTTACGGTCTGATGAACCGTAGCTTGATTGATTCTTGCTACCGTACGAGTCTTCGTTGTCATTGCGGTTCGAGGAGCCGTAGCTGGACTGCTTGTTGCTTCCGTAAGAGTCCTCGTTGTCGTTTCGGTTCGAAGAGCCGTAGCTGGATTGCTTGTTGCTGCCGTATGAGTCCTCGTCGTTGTCATTACGGTTTGATGATCCATAGCCCGAAGACTTGCTCTCTGAACCATAGGTGTTATCGTTGTCATTACGACCCGATGAGCCATAGCTTGACTGTTTGTTGCTACTGTACGAATCGTCGTCGTCATTGCGCTTCGATGAGCCGAACTCGGAGGTCTTGTTGCCAGAACCATACGAGTCGTCGTTGCGATCGGAAGAACCATATCCTGATGACTTCTTCTCAGATCCGTAGGTATCCTCGTCATCATTCCTGCGCGTAGAAGATCCGTAGGAAGTGCTGTCGTTGTCATTCGATCCATAGCTGGACGTTTTGTTGCCGTAAGAGGAGTCATCCTGATTGTTTCCATATCCAGAGGACTTAGACCCGTACTCATTGTCGTCACGGTTGCTGCTACCGTAGCCTGAGGTACGGTCCTCGCGATCGTTATCGTTGTAAGACATGGTGATGAGAACTGGTGTTTGTTTGGAAGAATTGAAGATTGAGAATCTATTGTGCAGAAAGAAGTCGGAGCTTGTTGATTGCTGACGATTATGGCAGACATCCTACCTCTTTATGTACGCTCTCTCGGACGCAGACCTACCCCTCTATCACCCCGCAACACCAAAAGCAGGTTTGGTGTTGGTTCTGCCGTCTTTGCTCCATTGCTATCGCTGCGACCCCTGTGAAGCTGAGCCGTGAGCTAAGGACCGCTCTAGATCTCGGCAAAGTCCGAATGCGCAATGGTTCCGCAGCAACTCATCACCAAAAACGTCATGGTAAACATCTGAGTCTCCATCGTGGCACCGCAAAGCCACCGCACAGATATGACCGAGCAACGTACTAGACTTTCGGTGTGGCCTTTCGTAGCGCAGAACAACCTTTGCAGCTACATTAGCACGACCGCGAGCGCGCCGAAGCTGGATTTGCGGGATTAATGTAGTGGCTGAGCATGATGTACTGTGTCCGGACGTATCTGGTGTGTTGGAGGGGTAGATTCCAGATGGGCGAATAGAGCGAGAACGATCGGACACGGGATGGCCGACGGGTGGGACATCAAGCACGCAAGCGACATGGGTTGCGAACTTCATGTATGAAGGATGAGTATTCCAGCGGTTCCGGAGATGCTCAAATGAAGAGAAGCTAGTGACAATGCAGAAGAGATGAATGGTGGTTGACAAATTACCTAGGTATGTATGGTCGCGCTAATTTGGTAGTTACACGCCGGTCCTTGCACGTAAGAGATCATCCAGAGTTGAACGAACGCAACCACGGATGATCAGAGTTAGCTTCTAAACAACCAATGTTGTGAGTTATCTCGCAGGTGCGCGATGCCCATAATGGTTTCGTTCTGAACCCTCAGCCTTTCGAGCGTTAACATCAGCTCCGGCGCCTACCATCCTCGCCATCTTGACCAAGACATTCATCCTACCACAAGTCCAGTATGTGTCCGGCTCTGCCATCTTCATATCTCTTGGCGTGCATATCTGGTACGGATGTACTTCATTAAGCCACTACAGTTAGTCCGGTTGCACGATAACTTTGATCCGTCCTTTGGCGTCTTATCTATTCTAGGTCAACGAACGTAACGGATTAAGCGGTACAGAGCTTTGGTGTCGTTGATCATCTGGATGGTTCTGTGCGGGGTGGTGAGAGCAAACAAGACTTCAAAGATGATGATGGCGATGAACGCCACTGAGGTTCAAACGTGATGTACACTTACAGTTGTAGAACGCATACCTTCACCACTTGCTGTAAACGAAGTATTCGCTGTATTGTGTTGCCAAGATAGAATTAGAGTACCTCTGAGCTACTTGCCCTGTGTAGAGACTCATTTCTCCTGTTACACTATTCTCTACAGTTCTCAACTAAGGCGTTAGGCATAGTCTCTTGTAGTCCACTGATAGCACACTTGAACTTTCCTACGATTGTCAGTTGACCGAGAGCTTCAGCAATCGAAAGCGCTGTCCTGCCATCTTCTGTGAGGGTAGATACATCGGCATCCCAATCGATAAGGATATCAACAATGCTCTCGTGGTCGTTCTCGAATGCCACAATCATATGTGTCCAATCGTCCGAAGTCCGTACATTACCTAGGTAATATCACAACCACACCCCTTGAGTCTCTTCACTATGTCCAGGTTTCCACCACGACAAGCCCGGTAGAATGGAGTAGCCCCAGAAGTTGAAGGAATATGTAGGTCAGCTCCATGCTCTAGCAGCGTCTCCAGTCCCTCGAATGCACAGTAATCAGCAGCGAAATGTATTGGAGGCTCTCGGAAAGTGCCGTTCAGAAACTTAGCGCACAGGTGAGGAGTTGCACAGCTACCTCTCTTACGGTCACCCAATACTGCACCCAAGGACTGGTATCGCATTTGCGATCCTAGCTTCCAGCAGCTTTGAGGTACTAGAGTCTTCAAACGACCACAAGGACATTTTCAGCTGAAAAAAGAATTAATTCAAACTACCTAGGTACGTACGTCCTTCTCATTTGCAAAGACCATCACACATCCTTCAGTACCTTTCCGCAGGCAGCACCTCTTCGTTTACTTCGTTTCTCTCTTCAAACGCCTCCACCAACCCCTTTGCTTCCCCCAAATCCTCGATAAGTATGCTGACATTTTGTTTCGCCATTAGCAGAAGAGCGTCAAGTTCCTTCTTCTTAAGAGGGCCCTGTGCTGCTCTTCCAAACAGCTGAGTCTGGGCCACATAATCTCCTGGCTTATGAGAGTGCAGCAACTCATCCTCTCGAATAGTAGCATCTGAGCCACGTGAGAACATGTGAGCAAGCCGACCACGACATGCTTTGCGTCTCCTCTGGATATCGTTAAGTGTGCGCCACACCTCTCATTCGCGCTCCCAACATCCAGCCAGAACCTTGTTGCTGAAGTCTACTATGCGCTTGAGTTCTATAACCTCTTCCTGCAGGCTGAGATTCTGTACATCGAGTTCCCTGACCTGGAGGTGCTTGTTCTCCAGATTTGTGCTAAGTTCTGGAATGAGGTCTTCTTCTACGCCAACGATGCGATCTTGGAGACCGTAAACCGCAGTGTGTAGCTTTTGGACAAGACGCACGTCTAATGGGATCGCCGACATGGCATTGCTGCGTGGTACAAGATTGGGAAATGGTGGAGGATATGGAGGAGCCGAATCGTAGATGACATCGTAGTGGAGGGCGAGTTCGGACGGTGTCAGTAGAGAACAGAGAAAGGCGAAGACATGCTCTGGCACACGATCAGGGGGTGACGGTGGGCGATGATAGGGATCATGATTGGAGTCGTCACTAGAGCCCGATGACGAAGAATAGTAACCTGGTGGTACACCATTAGTTAGCTGAGGTGGACTCTCTTCATTACCTCCGCGTAGTGGCCAGTCGGAGTGCGGGGGAGAACAATAGAGAGCGCTACTTGAATTCGAACGATTGTGATATCCAGCATTCACGCCATTAGGCAGTGACTGTTCCTCCTGTTGTTCCTCGAGTTGTCTAAACTTTTCCAGTGACAACGACCGGTCCGCCTGTCCAGACTGAAGACGGTCATGAAACTCACTCCCAGCACTTGGGTGGCTGAAATTTGGAACAAGACCAGCGTCCTTCATAGTAACAGGGTAAGAGTTCTTGTCAAAAAGCTTTTGATCAGCAGAGGTGAGACTACGTTCAATTCTTTCTCTGACTCTTGCTCTCATGACTGGATCGACGGCTTCATTGCGTATGATACTGTTGAGCGCTGAGTTCCATGTTAGCCGTTCAGGCTGCTCGCTTCCGGTTGACAATCGGATTTCTAGTCTTCTCGAGGCATTTCCTTCAGCCTTTTTCTGTGAACAATCTGATTGAGTTGGTGTGGAAGAGAAATCAGCCTGCGGTACCGAATCAATATCAGTCTCAGGGGCATCCGTCAGGTGCGGTGGGGCATCAGGTGTGAATATCGTCGGTAGGATGCATGCTGAGTCAGGTACATCCACAGTGGCCTCTTTGCTGCCATCAGCGTATACGGAATTATCCAAAGGGAAGTCCATGAAGCCATCCCATTCCCTAGTGCCAGGGGTGATCGGTCCCCTTGGTGGAGATGGGGGTCTTGGGGAAGACGGAGTCCGCATTAGAACTTGTGCCCGTGGAGCTGCAAGACTCCTGCTGCGTTCTTTCCACCGCCGCAAGTTCTCAGCGTTTTGTTTGGCCGTCAAATACTCACTCGGCACGGGTCTCGGATACTCTCTTTGCTCTATCTCATGAACCTTATTCCGCTCTTCCCACTGTCTTAGATTTTCTGCGTTCTGTGACGCGGTTAAGTATTCACTTGGCACAGGCCTTGAACGTGGCTTCTGCTCACGCTGCGTCTTTGGACGCCTTATTGGGGCTCTGTGCACCTCCTGTCTAAGCTCTCCTCCCAGTGGGCCAGCGCAAATCGGCTCTACATCAGAGGCCAGCATGATGCTGTTGAAGAAAAGCTGCTCCCGTGGGTAAATGTGACCCCTGTATGGACCTCTGTCGATAATCACTGGAAGCTCATCAGGCGAATCACTACTCCTAGGCCCCACACGCCCGTCATCAAGGTCGTTCTCAATCTTGTCGCGTGCCCTTCGCCTCTCCTTCTCACGTCGTTCTTCTAATTGTCTTGGTGTAGGAGATGGTTCATGGATCGTGTAGTAATGAGTAGGGCGTCGAAAGGGGTGTTTGAGCCGCTGGAACGATGGCATCGTTGTAGTTTAGGAGCTGGAAACCAGGTGTCGTAGATGCTAGATGATACAAGAAGGCCAGGATGTGGGAATACAGTCCTCGATCATGGGGATGCATGCGTTGTTTGGCAATCCAATTTGTCCGATTGTGATAAAGGGGCGTTTGTGGATGTGTTGGCTGATGGTACGCTTCAATGACAATCGCAGAATCACGCATGACCATGGTGATGTCCGAACACATTTGTCTGCAGTGGAATTGTGTAAGCAGTCAGGAAGTGATTGCGCGGAGACTGGGACGAGCACGATGGAAGTTATGAGAAAGGACACCGTGTGGTGTTGAAGCCAAGGGGTATTATTGCCGATGGCGTTATAAATATACACTACTTGTATTGGAGTCTCTTCCAGTGAGACACTTGCTGTGAAGCCATGATCGTTGTTCGGGGTATGCAACAATCGTAAATGCGCCAGGGTAAAAGAAGAAACCGCTCCATGGCTATGCAACCGCGAGAATGCAGATGAAACGCCCCCATGCCGTGTAATCGTAAACCATAACGCCGAAGAACCTCAATACCTCTTCTTAGCCTTGGCAGCCATAGCCGCCAACTTCTTCTTTCGTTCCTCCTTCTCACGCTTCAGCCGGTTTTCCTCGGCTAATGCCTCAGCGTCTTCCTTCTTAGCGACCTTGAGGGCTATCTGTTCCTCTTCTTCGACGTCCCAGATACCACCTTCCATGTCGGAGGAAGCATCAGAGGCATAGTCTTCTTCTTCGTCTTCCATGTCACTAAGTTCGTCCCAGTCTGCATAACCATCGTAGCGTCCCTTGGCCGGGTTCGGTTTTGCCTTGACGGCTGGCGTGCCGTTCCGACTTGATGTTGCAGGAGCACTCGCCGGACGGGCTGTTCCTTTGTATCCAACTTCGACAGGCTTCTTGGCCGGCCGGGCTGTGCCTTGGTAGCCAACCTCGGATGGCTTCTTCTTTTCTTTCGAGGGATCGGCTTTCGGGTCTAGGACCCTTGAAGGTAATCCAGCAACAGGCTTCTTGCCCTTTGCCCCAGCACTTGCTTCTGCCTTGAGTGCCAAGCGCTCTTTTCTTGACAAGATCTTGGTTGGCTCGTGCTTGATTGGCGGAGCGATGGGCTTCGTCGCGTCCTTCTCTTTGGCTTTCTGAAGCATAGCGAGATACCCCTTCTTGGGTGCGGCGGACGAGGCTGGTGTTGACGTGGCAGGTGGTGCAGGCTTGGGCGCGGGCGCGGGCACAGGCGCAGTGGCCTTGGGTCTGGCAGCGGGTGCATTTGACGACTGTAGAGGCTTGCGGACGGGTGGATTTGCTGGTTTCGATGATGCTGGAGCAGCGGTTCCACGATATGGGACAGCTGTGGTAGATGCGGATGGAGTAGGTTTTGACGTGGCAGGCGACGAGGTGGCACGCGCCACGCCGTTGGGCTGCGCTGGTCCCCCAACAGCCTCCTTCCTCTGTATCTTGACTTGTCCACTCTCAACCGGCCCCGATGCCTTGCGCTTCAACTGAGGCGGCTGCGATGCGCCATTTGCCCCTCCGCTTGGTCGCGACACTGGCCTAGGGGCTCCGGCAGGCGGGGCTTGCTTGGATACGGTCGCCTGTGTCTTCGCGCTCGGGTCGATTATAGACATGATGTCTTTGAGAGACTAAATGGTGCAGTCAGCATGTGAGAGCCGACGTGGATGGAGTCGCCAAACTCACACTCATAGTGGGCAACTGATAAGCGTTTGACTCAGGGCTACCGGTCGTCGAATCGATTGGAGGACAAGTTGTACATGCTTTCCGGGTAAGAATCTCCGGAGTAACTAGTCGTCAGGGACTGATCGCGCGCGCGGAGACGGAGCGAGGCGCACGGGACCGGTCGAAGATTGAAGAGGGGAGCGGCCAGAGAATGAGCGGTCGGCGGCGGCGCAGACAGGTCGTTTTTATACCTGGGCCTTGCCTAGCCCAGCCACACGTGACAAAGCGGGCGATTTGCGCTAGTCGTCTTGCGGTATAGCGCAAGTAGCGAAATCCCACCAGAAGTCAATATTCGCGGACCTCGAACTTTTTCTTCTGAACGACAACCTACAGCAAGAACTTGTAGCTTCAGTCTCCGGTCCCGACGGTACGCACCACTTTGAATCTGCTTCCAGCAGCGCAATACTGACAAGCGCAGGTTAAATCGATTGAACTCCTGTTCCTACAAATCACCAAACCACAATCACAATGAAGCACCTCGCGGCATACCTCCTCCTCGGCCTTGGTGGCAACACCTCGCCCTCCGCTGCCGACGTCAAGGTAAGTCTCATACCGCGCTGTTCTGCGTCTTTGTCCCAATCTAACGTCGCAACAGGCCGTCCTTGAGTCCGTTGGTATCGAGGCTGACTCCGACCGTCTTGACAAGCTGATCTCCGAGCTTGAGGGCAAGGACATCAACGAGCTCATCGCTTCCGGTTCCGAGAAGCTTGCTTCCGTTCCCTCCGGCGGTGCCGGTGGTGCTGCCGCTTCCGGTGGTGCTGCTGCCGCTGGTGGCTCCGCTGAGGCTGAGGCCGCTCCTGAGGCCGCCAAGGAGGAGGAGAAGGAGGAGTCTGACGAGGACATGGGTTTCGGTCTCTTCGACTAAGCGCATCACCATCGCCAAACAAACACCTTCACCTACCTTTACGAAGTATGATCCGGCCAATCTCTCGACTATCACGAGAATCATGCGCAATGAGAACGATTTGGGGAGTGTCGAGCGTGCACTGCAAGGGGCTTGGAGAAGGATACCGCGGCAATAGTAGAATAGTTGCCTGCTGAGATACCCGGAATGAAGCCATGCACCTCCAAGCACTACAGGCAGTTTACCTGCTTTTTGTGACTGCGCCAAGCCTTTATTATAATAGTGATTTGCTTTGAGTGTGATTCGTAAATTAAAATGAGGTGCTACCGAGAGTGCTGTACTGCCTTTTCCGTAACTGTTACGTCAATTTTTGTGGCAGGCATGTCACTCATGGAGTCTAGAGTAGATGCGACGACTGTAACTCTAGGTATGAGAGGCTAGCATGACCTTCGCCCACTATTGGTGCGACTTGTAGGATATGAAAAAGACTGGAAATGGATCGACTCCAGGTGATGTTATGAATGAGCTCGTTTTCCCCAAGTTGTTCCTAGATACTGCAACCTAATCTAAAGGTGTACGCAAACCTCCACGTTGCATTGTCAGCAAGAGAGTAACGGCACATACCTTCAAAGTACCATTTCCTGTACAGTCTTACAAAGGGTTGACTTGGCAAGAACGAGCTCGTTTGTATGCGAGGACCACTGGAGTTACTAGATGCCTTTTTTGTAGAACGAGGCTTGAACATAGATTGTTTCGATGGTGGGCATCTGTTCCAATATGCTTTCAGACCCCAATTGGTGGTGCTGTATCGTCAATGTTCACTGTGAGTTCTGTCATGGTGGGTGGTGGTGGTGTGTGTGAATGATCGCACCTGTCCAAACCGGCGCTAAGGGGTCTCGCTTAGCGCACAGGGCAGCTACACCCGTGGACCTTTTGAATTTCGCATCGATTCCGTTGACGACCGACAACTACCCTCGCGACCCCAACGAAGTTCTCCCATCAGCTACTTCGACAATCGCAAATATGGCTGACGCTGACTACGACCCCGAGGCCGCAGCTGGTACGCTCTTGCCCCTCCAACGAGCCCTTCCCACACACCCGCACCGCTTCCCTTGGATACGTACACGCACAATGTGACAGGACATGGCTAACGAATCCAACAGCCCTTAAGGCGAAGAGGGCGTTCCGCAAGTTCTCTTACCGCGGCGTTGACCTCGACCAGTACGTCTCCCGACCCCCCGCGACTCTCCGAAAGCGATGGGGGATGTATACAGATGGTGGCGGTATTCTGATCGATATGCAGGCTCCTCGACCTTGGCTCTGAGGAACTCCGCGACCTCGTCCACGCCCGTGCCCGCCGCAGGTTCAACCGTGGTCTCAAGCGCAAGCCCATGGGCCTCATCAAGAAGCTCAGGAAGTCCAAGCGTAGGCAACACTGTCCGCACAGTTGAAGGGAGACAACTAACCCTGAACAGAGGAGGCCAAGCCCAACGAGAAGCCCGACCTCGTCAAGACCCACCTCCGTGACATGATTGTCGTCCCCGAGATGATCGGCAGCGTCATCGGTGTCTACTCCGGAAAGGAGTTCAACCAGGTCGAAATCAAGCCCGAGATGGTCGGCCACTACCTCGCAGAGTTCTCCATCTCATACAGGCCCGTCAAGCACGGAAGGCCGGGTATTGGTGCCACTCACTCTTCCCGTTTCATTCCTCTCAAGTAAACGAACTGGGTTTTGGTTGCATGGGTTCTTTCGTGGGGCGGATATGTACTTGACGACCTAAAATGAATACAGGTGTTAGGTGCATTTACTCTCGATGGCTATGACGAACACAACGATCATGGCGGGCATGAAGATATGGTGTAGATAGCACCACCATTACATTCGAGATACCTCCACACTGCTTCCTCCACTGGGTGATGTGTACTTGTTGTGATCGATGTTGAGCATGCTGGTCGATTGGATTCAATCGCTGCACTACACTGCACTGGACTTCACATGGGACAGTGGACGTCAGATCAAGAGATACGGCAAGTCTACAAGTTGGAGGGCAGCGGTAATCGTATTAGGTATTGTTACACTAGGAAATGCAAGTGACGTGTGCTCTCGCTACCTTCCAAGGCGCATCTCAACCTTTGCAAAGTTATACAGGGCTCGCAGGAAGACCTGATAATTAACGCCCTTGTTGTCTGGCAGGTGGCTGTATTGTGTGTTAGCAAAGACCTCATCATATGAACAAGACAACTTACAACATCTCAGTCAACCTCAGCTGCCATGGCGGATAACCTTTGAGTTGCACAGTAGGGCTGAACAGGATCAGAAGATCCGGTTCGCTCGAAACATGGTCATTCAGCTGGGCATCAATCAAATCAGTGTTGATCTGCTCTTGTCGTACGTCGCCCTTTTGTGCCATCTCGGCC